TAGCCATTACGCTAACTGCTGATCCCTTCACTTATTGATTCTGACCCTGACTGTCATTTACCAAACATTTTTTTATTGGTTTGCATTTCATCTTTCCCTTAATTTTTCATTGTGAAAAAATGTCTCAAATTTTTAACCATTTTTAAGTGTACAGAACATTTTTACCATTCCATACTGAGACTTCATACCCATTAAATAACTTCTCACTCCTCCCTTCTCCCAGCCCTAGATAACGACATTTTTACTTTCATCTCAAAGTCCCAATGTATTTGACTAATCTAGTCATGGAATCATACAAATTGAGTTCTTTTCTGCCAGGCGTATTTCACGTAACATAATGTCTTCAAGGTTTAGTCGTGTTGTAGTGTATATCAGAATACCATTCCTTTTCAAGGCTTAATATCATATGTCTATACCCTATTGTGATTATTCATTTATCCCTCAAGGGGCATTTGGGTTGCTCTCATTGATCATCTTACTGTGGCAAACAATTTCTTATGACTTCAGTAAACAAATACCTGTTAAAGTTTCTGTTTTCAGTTTTTTTGTGTGCATATGGCCAAAGTAGAATTATTGGATCAAATGATATTTCTATCTTAATTCTTTGAGAAACCACTTTCACATTGCTGTAGCATTTTACATTCCTGTCAGTAATGCACATAATTCCAGATTCTCCACACTCAAGTCATAGTTTGCTTGTTTATGCCACAACCTATTCTCCTCCATTCTTTTAGGTCTAGAGCATGTACACACATGTGCTTGGCATGAGTTTTAAGCCACCAAGTCCAGGACTTGAACTGCAGTCAGCAACTGGGTCCCACATGGCCGACTGCATGGTTTTGGTCCCAGACCTGACAGCATGGAAAACTCACTAGGTATGTTTGTGTGCATGCCCAATATCCAGAAAGGAGAGAGGAGTGGAGGAGAAAGGATTGCAGCATGACCATTCCCCATGGGGAGGGATCTCTCTCTCTCCTCTTTCTCTCTCTGGAAAGTGCACCTTCCTATGGAAAAATTTCTTTTAAAATAATAGTAATATTATATTATTATTACCATTCCTTTTAGTTAGATTATACGTTAAGTTAGCTTACAGTTCACTACATATGGAGACAGCATTAGGCCGAATTTAATTAGGCACTGATTATTTGGGGGTTCCCAGCCCCCTCCCCAAAGTGTCTGGTTCCACAGCTGGGTTGATACAGCAGGATCTGCTTTTCCCATAAGGAAAGACAGAGAGAGACAAGGAGACAGAAAGTGAGAATCATCCCCCGGGGGGGATGGCCACGTCGCAATCCCTTCTCCTCCATTCCCCTCTCGGGATCTTGGGCACGCACGCACATGCACCCTGCATGAGTTTAAGCCACAGGGTCAGGGACTCGAACCGTGGTTGACTACATGTGAGTCCAGTGACATAGCCATTACGCTAACTGCTGATCCCTTCACTTATTGATTCTGACCCTGACTGTCATTTACCAAACATTTTTTTATTGGTTTGCATTTCATCTTTCCCTTAATTTTTCATTGTGAAAAAATGTCTCAAATTTTTAACCATTTTTAAGTGTACAGAACATTTTTACCATTCCATACTGAGACTTCATACCCATTAAATAACTTCTCACTCCTCCCTTCTCCCAGCCCTAGATAACGACATTTTTACTTTCATCTCAAAGTCCCAATGTATTTGACTAATCTAGTCATGGAATCATACAAATTGAGTTCTTTTCTGCCAGGCGTATTTCACGTAACATAATGTCTTCAAGGTTTAGTCGTGTTGTAGTGTATATCAGAATACCATTCCTTTTCAAGGCTTAATATCATATGTCTATACCCTATTGTGATTATTCATTTATCCCTCAAGGGGCATTTGGGTTGCTCTCATTGATCATCTTACTGTGGCAAACAATTTCTTATGACTTCAGTAAACAAATACCTGTTAAAGTTTCTGTTTTCAGTTTTTTTGTGTGCATATGGCCAAAGTAGAATTATTGGATCAAATGATATTTCTATCTTAATTCTTTGAGAAACCACTTTCACATTGCTGTAGCATTTTACATTCCTGTCAGTAATGCACATAATTCCAGATTCTCCACACTCAAGTCATAGTTTGCTTGTTTATGCCACAACCTATTCTCCTCCATTCTTTTAGGTCTAGAGCATGCACACACATGTGCTTGGCATGAGTTTTAAGCCACCAAGTCCAGGACTTGAACTGCAGTCAACTACATGGGAGTCCAGCAATGTAACCATTACACCACCTGCTGAATCTCCATTATCATTTTTTAAAATTTGCTATAGGGCACACACACTCACGCTTACCAGAGAGAGAAAGAGAGAGAGGGGGAAAGTGAGAAAGCAAGCCACCAGGTGGAGGACTCAAACTGCAGTTGGCCATGTAGGAGTTCAGCAATTTGACCCATGCCATGTGCTGGTCCCACACCACACTGTTATTATTATAGTTTTATAATAAATTTTGGAATAAGGACATGTGAGACTTCCAACTTTCGTTTCTGATGAGAACTGCACTGAATTTATAGATTGTATCGAGTAGCATTGCCATCTTAACAATATTTTCTCCCAATCCATGAATGCAGGGTCCATTCATTCATGTCTCTTAAAACTTCTTTCAACATTGTTTTGTATTTTTCAGTACACAATCTCTCACCTCCTTGGTTTGTTTGTTTGTTTGTTTTGTTAGAGGTGCATGCACTCACCAAAGACAGAGAGATACAGAGAGAGAGGAAAAGTGAGAAAGCGCTCACCCAAAGGGGTTGACCATGGTGAAATTCTTCCTCCACCATTTTCATTCAGGATTTTGGGTACGTACACACACACATGCCTGGAATATTTCTCAAGCCTTCAGGTCCAGGATTTCAGTTGTGCAGTTGGCCATGTGAGATCCAGCCACCTTACCCTCCATGCCATCTGCTGACCCGTCTTTGTTAATTTTTAAATATTTTATTTTTTTCTGATATTATTGTAAATGCAATTTTTAGAATTTACTTTTCATGTTATTTATTCTTGTTAGTGCTTGGAAATGGGCCTGACTTTTTGTGTTCATTTCATATGGTTTTACTTTTCAAAATTTGTTTATTAGTTCTGACAGGTTTTCTGGGGTTTGTTTTGTTTGGGTTGGGTTTTGTTGTTATTACTGAATATTTAAGATTTTCTACATATCAGATCATGTAATGTTCTCCTTTCATTCTGTTAATATGGTATATTACATTGATTTTCATATATTGAACTATCCTTGCATTCCAGAATTGAATCCAGCTTGATCACAGTGTCTAATTCTTTTGAATGTGCTAGTGAATTTGGTTTGTTTATATGTTTCTAGGAATTTTTGCATCCAAGTTTATAAACAATATTAGCCTCTTGTTTTCTTTTGGTTGCTTGCTTGTATGTTTGTGTGTTTCCTTTTAATGTATGTATGTATGCATGTATGTATGTATTTTTAGGGTTTTGCCATAAGGTGTATGTGCTTGCCAGAGACAGACAGGGAAAGACACAGAGACAGGGAAAGTGAGAAATCACCCTCTAGGAGGAATGGTCACATCATAATTGCTCCTCCTCCATTCTCCTCCTGGGAGTTTGTGCACACGCACACATGTGCTCAGTGTGATTTTCAAGCCACCAGATATGGGACTTGAATCATGGTCAGTCACGTGGCAATCTGGCACCTTAACACCACACCATCTGCTGCCCCATCTAGTGTTCTTTTCCTTGGTGGTATCTTCTGGCCAGTTATGCTGCCTTTGCTGACTACATTAAGCAGCATTTCCCTCCTTTTCAATTTTTGGAAAAGTCGAGAAAGATCAATGTGAACTTTTCTTTGAAAATTTGGTAAATTCACCAGTGACCCAATAAGGTCCAGGGATTTTCTTTGTTGGAAAGGCTTTTTTACTTTTTATGTTTTTGTTTTGGTTGTTTATTTTATGGAGAAGATGGGGTGGGGATAGGCATTCACAGCAGGGTTTTGTCAAGCCATAATCCTCTCCACATACTGTCCTTCAGCCAGCCAGAGCTGCAGGTATGCATGTGCACACCTAGCATGTTCCAGGTCAATCCAGGATCTGAATGGGTCCTCCATGAGGCTGCAGAATAGCAGAGTTGTGCCCACCATCTGTATTCCTGTGGCTGGGTCATGAGGTTTTAATTACTGCTTTAGTCCCCACACTAGTTATCTGCCTATTCTAATTTCATATTCCTTTGTGGTTTAGTGTTGTTACACTTTGTGTTCCTAGGAATTTGGTCACCTAGGTTTTCTAAATGGTTGGCATACAATTTTTTTCATCGTACTTTTCTTTCTTTCTTTTTTTTTGGATAGGTTTTTGCCAGGGTGCACGGCGTGTGCGCTCACCAGACAGGCAGAGAGAGACAGAGAGACAGAGAGTCAGAAAGCAAGAAATCACCCCCCAGGGGGGATGGTCACGCCACAATCCCTTCTCCTCCATTCTCCTCTCGGGATCTTGGGCACACATGCACATGCACCCGGCATGAGTTTAAGTCACCGGGTCTGGGACTCAAATCACTATAGACTACATGGGAGTTCAGTGACATAGCCATTACGCCAACTGCTGATCCCTATGCTATGTTTTTATTTTCATTTTTCTCTGAATATTTTCTAATTTCTCTTTTGACATATTCCTTGACACATTAGTTAAGAGTATGTTGTTCAATTTCCATATTTTGTGAATTTTCTAGTTTTCTTCATTATTGATTTCTAACTTCATCCTATCGTGATTGGAGAAGATACTTTGTATTCATTTTTTAAAATCGATTGAGACTTGATATGTGGCCTAACATATGGTCACATATCCTAGAGATACCCCATATGAACTTGAGAAGAATTTTATGCTGTTGACATTGCTGAGTAGTCTGTATATGTCTGATATATATATATAGTTCTTTCATTGTGATGTTCAAGTCCTGAAAATGAGATAACCATGCCTCAGTGACTCAGAGGCCATCACATCATCTAATAAGCATTCCTGATTTGACAGGACCTGGCCACACTGGACAATGACACTTGTCTGGTACACCTGTCTCTTCTGGCTGTCCACCAGTTGTCTCTGGACCATCCAGGCTCAGGACTCTGCTGCTAATGTGAACATCAGGAGCCCTCACCGGGGCCTGGCTCCAACCAACGTTGATTTCGCCTTCAGCCTGTTCAAGCACCTAGTGTCCCTGGCTCCCGACAGGAACGTCTTTATCTCCCCTGTGAGCATCTCTATAGCCTTAGCAATGCTGTCCCTAGGCACTTACGGCCCCACGCGGACCCAGCTTCTCCAGGGCCTAGGTTTCAACATCACCGAGATCTCTGAGACTGAGATCCACCAGCGCTTTCAGCACCTCCTCAATCTCCTCAGGGAGTCAGAAACCAGCTTAGAAATGACCCTGGGCACCACCTTGTTCTATGACCGCAGCCTGGAGCCGCTGGAGTCGTTCTCAGCTGACATCAAGAAGTACTATGAGTCGGAGGTTTTGGCCGCAGATTTCCAGGATGGAGCTAAAGCCAGCAGACAGATCAAAGAGTACATCAAGAATAAGACACAGGGAGAAATTGAGGACTTGTTCTCAGACGTGGAGAGCCCAGGTGTCATCCTGGTCAACTACATCTTCTTCAAAGGTACCCCACAGACACCTCCATTCTGACAAGACCCCTTTCACCAGGAGTAGTAACAGCCATCTGAATCCAGGGCACACTCTTGGGCAAAACCTTTGACTTTACAAAGTGCATTTGCATTCGGGGGTCTCCTATATCCAGTCCTGTTGGGAAGGTAGAATCTCTCTCTCTCTCTCTCTCTCTCTCTCTCTTTTTTTTTTTTAAGAGTTTTTTGCTACAGGGCGCATGAGCTTGCTGGAGAGATGGAGAGAGGCCACAAAGTGAGAAATCAACCCCCAGGGGGGATGACCATGCTGCAATCCCTTCTCCTCCATTCTCTTGGGATTTGGGGCATGCACGCACATGTGCCCAGAGTGAGTTTTAAGCCACCAGCTCAGGGACTCGAACCCTGGCTAACTATGTAGGAGTCCAGTGATGTAACCATTACACCATCTGCTGATTCAGAATTACACAATTTTTTGAATGATCCAAATGACTCTCAGAAGAGTTGAGCAATTCCCCCAGGCTCTGAAGGGTTGGTCTGAGGCTCATACACGTAACCACATGGATTCTGGCTGCCTGGCAATTTACAAATATTGACTAAGCACTGGCAGCAAGGCAGGCCATGGACCAGGGGCTGAGAATAGGGCCCAGAATGAACCCAGCCCCTGCCTCGCAAACTCCCAGGTGCCCCTGAAGCCATCCTGCCCACACCGCCAGCTCTGCCTAGTCCTTCCTCAAAGAAACTTCAGGGTTTCTGACACAGGGTTTTCCAAAGTGCCTGTTCATTCAAAATCTCCAGGGAGACTCATTGAAAGTATAGATTCCAAAGCCCACCCAGACCAGCTGAAGCAAAACCTGTGAAAAAGCCCTAGAATCTATATTATTAACAAGCACTCTTCACCTCAGATCATTTTAACAGTGAGGTGTTACCCCTGGTAATAGAGTCCAGACACCTCTGTCTAGAGGTTCTCAACCGAGGAGGCTCCGTCTACCCTCCCAGGAACTCGTGGCAAGGTCTGGTGACATTTTTGGTAGTCACAGCTGGGAAGGGGTGGAATGTACTGTTGGCATGAAGTGGGCAGAGCCAGGGAGGCTGTTAGATATCTTACGGTGTGCAGGCCCCCTCCCAGAACGTTCATGGTGCCAGAACTGAAAGCTGTCCTCCCAACCCCGTGTCTCAACACTGGCCCTCCTCCCCGCTCCCAACACACGACAAATAGACAGACGCACACAGATTCCAACCACACCGAGTCCCGTGGAGACAGGCACGTCCTCAATGTGCCTGTCTCCACGGAAGCCTGCATCAGCCTCTGGGTGTCGCTGTAACAGGTTACTGCAGACTTGGTGGCTTGAAACAACACAAATGTATTATCTTCCAGTTCAGGAGGTCAAAATTCAAAATGAGTCACTGGGCCGAATCAGAGTTTGGCGAGGCTGGCTCCTTTTGAAAGCTCTAAGACAGGTGTCTCTGAGCCTTTTCCAGTTTCTAGAAGCCCCTTGCATGCCTTGGCTCAAGACCCCTTCCATCTTCAAAGCCAGTAATCGTATTGCTTTAGCCTCTGCTGCCCTCAGTCCTGTCTCTGCCCTGCCTCTCCTGCCCTCCTCTTCCACTCACAAGGAACCTCATGATCACACTGGTCCTACCTGGATAACCAAGGACCTCTCCCCACCCCAAGGCCACCTGATCAGCTGCTGTGATTCCATCTGTAAATGTAATTCCCCCTTGACACAGAACTTGCCATATTTATACATTCTAGGGATTAGGACATGGGTTTCCTTGGGAGGCCATTGCTCTGCCTTCCACAAAGCCCATGACCCTTCTGTGCCCCAGACCCTCCCTTGATTTATTTGGCTGCCTAAAATATCTTCCAGCTTTTCGAGTCTTAGCTCCAAAGTCACTTCCCCTGTAAAGCCTTCCCTGATTCCCTCAAAAACAACGCTGTGCTTCTCATCTCATCCTCTACAGTTCACCCGTGCCTCCTTGTGGTGATCATCTTGTAACCCAGGAACCAAGTAGCTCAATTTCAGCTAATCCATCAGGGTCCAAGAAATGCCAGTTGAACAGCCAAGCTAAACAAACAAAACCAGTAACTAGGCTTACTGTGTCTCTGAACAACATTCAGGATCCTCATAGCCGTCCCCGGCAAAGACTCCACACAGGCCCCTGCTCTCCTCCCTGGCCCTCAGTCAGGGTCTCCCAACCACCAACTGTTCCCACCTCCCCCACAGCCCCTATCGCCCAGACCGACTTAGCATCTCAGTGAGCCCCCTCCGCCTGCCTTTCAGCCTTGTCCATTCTCCCACAATTCTTGGAACCTCATGACAGCCTCAGAGGGCAGCCAGGGGGAGAGACTGACCAGGCGAAGGTAGCCTGCTGGAAGCATTTGCCCAGAATTGTTCTGACACAACTTCCACAGGCCGTCTCTCTCACAAGGCTGTGCACTCTTGGGCACGGGGTCCTCATCTCTCAGGGCCTTTGCATAGGGCTTGGCAGGTGGAAGGAGCTCAACAGTGGTTGCATGGAGTTTCCGGTAACAGCCTCAGGATTGGGCCCAGTAAACCCAGGTATAGAGAGGGGCTCACCAGGCACTCGGGGCAGCTGGCGGGGCAGTCACTGGCATGGTGTTGTTCTTCACACTGGTTCTTGGCAGTCTTAGAACACCATGAGTGATGTAGTTGGAACGCCATAGCTCCCAGTTACCAGACCAGTGAGACTGACGTCTGAACGTGGTGACAGAATGCCTTGTCACACACAGACATTCTCCAATGCAATGGAACTAGTCAGCAAGTCTTGGTTAGGCTAGGGGTGAGAGGGGGATAGGCGGGCATGATGCTAGCAACTCAGGAGTGATCATAGAAATGAAGAGTGGTGTTGCTATTATCGCTAAATTAAGGGCAGGTAAAATGTCCTGGTGTGTTCTTCAGTTAGTGGACTGTCTTGACAACTCTTTTTAGAGAAGATAAAAAATATTGTTCAGGGACCAGCAGACGGCATAATGGCTACGTCGCTGGATTCCCACATCATCAACCACGCTTCCAGTCCTAGACCCAGTGGCTTAAGCCCACGCTGGGCACATGTGCGTGCATGCCCAAGATCCTAAGAGGAGAACAGAGAAGGGACTGTGCCGTGATCATCTCCCAGAAGGGGATGATTTCTTGCTTTCTGTCTCTCTGCCTCTCTCTGTCTCTCTGGTGAGCACACACACCCTATAGCCAAAACCTCTTTAAAAAAAAGAAAGAAAGGTATTGTTAAATGGGGCCCATAAGTGACATGGTGGTAAAACTGCTGGATTCCCACATGGCCAACCACAGTTCGAGTCCCAGACATGGCAGTTTAAAAATTATTCAAGGTGTATGTGCATGCCCATAATCCCAAGAGGAGAATGGAGATGGGATTATGGTGTGGCCATCCCCTTGTGGGAGTGGTGGTTTCTCACTTGCCCCCTTTGTCTCTCTCTGGAGAGCATGCAAACCGTATGGCAAAAACCTAAAAAAAAAAAAAAAAGTTAAAAGATTTTCTGGAGAAATCATCCTTGCTTTCTTAGTTTTCACCTCATAAATTCTTGTTTCCCTACCACCAGCCCTCTAAGAATTTCTGAGAAGAAATTCCTTGAAGTAGGGTTTTAACCCAATTCTGTCCTTGGCTTTGGTGTCAAACTAGGTATGTTATACTTGCTTCTAGGGGGGAAATATTTAATAATAATAAAAAAATAAGCAGCAAAATTTTGAGGATAAAAAAATACTGTTCTAGGGAACCAGCAGTTAGCGTAATGGCTACGTCGCTGGACTCCCACATAGTCGACCGCGGTTCGTGTCCTGGACCCGGTGGCTTAAAACTCAGGCCGGGCGCGTGTGCGTGCGTGCCCAAGATCCCGAGAGGAGAATGGAGGAGAAGGGATTGCGGCGTGACCATCCCCCCTGGGGGGTGATTTCTCACTTTCTGTCTCTATGTCTCTCTCTGTCTGTCTGGCGAGCGCACACGCCCTACAGTGAAAATCTCTCCAAAAAAAAGAAAAAAGAAAAAAAATACTGTTCTAACAATAAGAAATATTTTCTCTTTTTTTCTGTAAGTTGGACAAAGTTAGCAAAATACCACTCCCTCAAGGTCTGAGGACTTGAGATTTCCTTTGAAGGAGGGTTTGAGAACTCTCAAGTTCTCTCCCTCACTGAGAGACAGACCAGGCCATGCTGGGTTTGCACGTGTCTGCAGACACCGAGGGTATGTAGGTTGTTCCAGAAGGACCCAGCACAGTTCTTGGGCCCACAGGCTCCATGAGCACAGGCCACTCTTCTCCACCTTCCAGCCTCTCCCTGTCGTCTCCATCCACAGCCATTAGAAGAGGTGTGAGACTGACCCAGAACTTGTGGCCTCGCTGAATAAATCCCACAGGCAGCGAGATGCAGAAGGCCCTGCCAGGAACCATATCTGGCCACCTGTGGCCCCAGCTGGGAAGTGGTGACGTGAGGGCTTCAGGACTTGAGGTCATGAGACCCTCTGGACTCGGGGTCCTTGGTCACCTCCAGACCCAAGGAGCCTTAATCCAGAGCAGAGTAGGCCCCGTCGAGACTCAGCGCATGCAAACATCTCATGAGTGGACCCAGGGCTGTCCGGAACAGGCTCAGACAGAAGAAGCTCCGTGGGTGCTGTTAAAATCAGGTGGGCTGAAGCTCAATGTAAGAAATAATTTTCCTCCCCTCAGGTACAGTCTCATCTGTGAAGGTAGTGAGTTCCCCATCTCAGGACAAACTGTGGCCTGGAGGGTGACACTAAGGAACAGAGGAGCAGGAATCTGAGGTCCAGCTGGGGGTGGGCGTCTGTGACCCTGAGGAATCATCTCACTCTCCTTTGCATTTGGGAAATGTGGTCCAGAGGAGGGTCTGCATCGTGGGGGTCAGGGGCCTCTTGCAGGAGAGTGGGTGCCATGCACTGGGCCAGCCAGGCTGTCCAGGATGAAGAGGAACAAATGGTCTATCCCCAGTCTCCTTCTTGCCCCCCTCAAGACCTTGAGGTTTAGACTTGAGGTCTGGCTCTACTTCAGGAGGCCTCTGAGCCAGGACGCACACCAGTCCGGGGCCAGGGCAGAGTCTGGCTGAAGTGAACCCCACCCAAACCCAAGAACCAGAGCCCTCCTGGTCTCTCCCCTCTTCCCTGATTAGAAGCTACTCTTCAAGGCATTCTCAAATGTGGGGGATGGAACAGGCTTTAACTTCTGGGAGTTTCCACATCTTACTGAAAACTGCAGCACCTGGCGTGGGGGCGTCCCAGGTGCACAGGAGGCTGCTGTGTCACTGGTCAGCAGGGCAGTTAGCGGGCACTCTGCTGCCCCGGGTGTTGTGCAGCTTGAGGTCCTGACGCCCGCTTCCTCTCACCCTGCTCTTCCCAGGCATGTGGGCGCAGCCCTTTGACCCAGTGTCTCGGGTACAGAACTTCTACGTGAATGAGACGCTCACAGTGGAGGTGCCCATGCTGTTCCAGTCAAGCACCATCATGCACCTCTACGACCCAGAGCTCGCGTGCCGAGTGGTGAAGCTGGACTACGAGGGCAACGGCACCGCCTTCTTCATCCTTCCAGACAGAGGGAGGGTGGACACGGTCATCTCCACGCTGACCCGGGACACGATTCAGAGGTGGTCTCAGACCCTGACCAGTGGGTAAGCACCCCCAGCCAGCATCCTGATTTCCGCAATGCCCCTGTGCCCAGAGGATGGCACGAGTGGAAAGGGGTGTGCCCGGGCACCCTTCTTCCCCCCAACTCACCCTCAGAGCCCATTGCTTTGCTGTCTGCTGGGTCTTCAAAGGCCACCAGGCTCCTTGACGTAGAGGTCACACTTAGGTGTCGATTTGTCAGTCAACACCAAGACACTTCCCTCATGCCTGTGAGGCCCATTACCACCATCTGTGTTATCGTATCTGCATCATTTCCTTTAGGTGAGCTGCCAACCACCCAGGTTCCCACTTATCCACTTTGTTACCTTGCTGACCCGAAACTAAGCATGTTACAGATTCCTGGGAGACCCCCAAAAATTTACTGGAAATGATCTCTGTGTCCATCACAGACCAGTACAGAGCCTGGGAGTGGTTCTTAAGTCACTTGGGGAGTCTATCTTACTCTTCCTCCAACCAATCAGTAAATAGGTGAAAAGGAGAGGGTGTAAATAAGTAATAAATGAGTAACTAAAAAGAGAGGTGTAGGGACCAGCAGATGGCATAATGGTTATATCGCTGGACTCCCACATGGTCTACTGTGGTTCAAGTCCTGGACCCAGTGGCTTAAACTTCACACCAGGTGCATATATGTGTGTGCCCAAAATCCTGAGAGGAGAATGGAGGAGAAGAGATTGTTTTCACTTTCTTTCTCTCTTTCTCTCTCCAGCAAGCACACACACCCTATAGCAAAAATCTCTTGGGGGGAAAGAGAGAGAGAGAGAAGTGTATGTGACGGGTCAGTGGTCAGGAGGCAAACCAGCTAACAGATCCTGTGTCTCTAAACTCCAGCCTGAGCAAGGGCTGGTGCAGAGTCAGCACTCAGGGGAGATCCAGGGAGGATGTGAATTAGCAATGAGTGAGTGAGTGAATGAATGGATGGACGGATGGAGAAACTGACGGATAAAGAATGAGTGGATGCATGAATGGGTGAATGAACAAATTAACGTATTTCTCCCAGGCACCACTGAGCTAGGGGGCTGTTGAAATTATCGTCAAGCATGTGCCCAACCCCGTGGCTCCCCTTGGAGAAGGGAAGTGATGTTCCTGAGAACACAGTCCTAACTCTCAGGGAGTTCTGTCTGAGCACAAAAATCAGAAATGCCAACTAACTACGTGGAGCCTGTGAAAGGCAGGATGAGGCAGGCTCAAAGGGCAGAGGGGACACAGGGGAGGGAGCAGGCACCTGGCTCGGAGTACCTCGGAAAGGCTGGTGGAGCAGATGGCAGTTCACTGGTCCATCCATTCAATGTCCACAAATGGCAGCACCTGCTCGGCACCGTGCATTGTGCAAACACAAGGCACAGGATGGTGACTAGGACAGAAATAGAGCCTCAAAGGCATGCTCTCCAGAGCAGAGAGCAGACATCAGTTGGATTACTGGAGAAACCGTGAGGAAATGTCTACCAGAGAGAGTGAAGAGTATAAAAGGCTGGGCTCTGCCACAGGGGCCTGGGGAGGGGGTTGGGGAGCAGGTTGCTCTCGCTTTGAACTGCATCAGCCTAAGTGGAATTCAACCCACGGAAGTGGCCCGACGAGCATGCGTGATGCGCGCGGGGTGGTGGGGGGTGCTGCTCACAGGGCACCGGCAAGGCAGACCAGCAGCAGTGAAGGGAACAGATTCAGCTTGGATGAACATCAGGATCCAAGGTCTTAGCAGCTGGAAGTCTGCAAAGAAGCTCTTCTACCTTCTTCTGTATAAGTTTTGTGCATGGTGGTTTGGGGTTGTTTTCTTGTGAATTACGCCTTCCCAGAGAGCTGTCCGGCACTGGGTGCTTCCACCCCGTGGAAGGAGGTTAATCCAGTTCTGTGAGTGGACCCAGAAATGCCTGAGGAAGAATGGTGAGATCGGATCTGTGTTACAGGAAGAACCCCCATAGTTGTGTGGGAACAGGGTTCTCGAGCCATCGACACCTGCTGGGTCTTGCGAGTACATGCATGTTGTATGTGTGCATGCACCTGTGTATGCAGGTGTGTGAGGCTGAGCCTGGGCTGGGAGGAGGTAACAGACTCACTTGGCAGTTCTCCCTTTCAGGTGTTCCCATCCTAGCCCCACTCCCTCTTCCCAGAGAGAACCTGTAATTCAGGCAGAACACCACTAGGTGGTGATAATGCACCATGATTCCTACAGTAAATTCTGGACTCTTGCATTGAAAACCAGGTTGAGGACAATCTTTGCCTTCACACCAAAAGTATTTCTTCATGAATACTGCCATAGGAACAAAGTTAATCAATAATACACATCTCGGGGCCCCCTGCCTCACCCTCAGAATGCGGCTGACACGGGCAGCAGGCACTGAGTGCCTAGCAGGTCCTTCCCAACCCTGTGCCTGTGGGGGGAACCGCTCAACCTCTCTGAGCTCGTCCGCCCATGTGGACACTGAAGACATGATCCCAACTTCGGAAGGTTGCATGTGCGCACACGGCGAGGAGATGAGCTACAGGGGGAGCATATGCCGGGTGCTCTGCGTGTGCTGGTTCAGTTTATCTGTCAGTTTATGTGGCCCCCTATAGGGAAGTTCCACATGCCTGTTTTTGATTCCTCCTCAACTCCTTCCAAACAGGATGGCTTAAAATCCAGACCTGC